TAGTGGTGTGCCATGGCCATGTCCTCCAGGCGGTAGTGCTGGGGCAGGGGGGGCCCGGCCGGGGGGTGCCCCAGCCCGTTCGGGGGGTGGCTCAGCCCGTTGCTGGGGCTGTAGCGCTGCGCTGGGCTCATGGTGCACGGCCGCTTGCTGAGGTGCTCGGGGTGCAGGGGGTCTCGGTCCAAACCGTTCTCTTTGGTCCTGGCCGGAGGAGAGGAGGTCGGTCCCCACTGGGCCCCCCGGAACAGCCTCCCCTTTTCAGGGATGCGTCCCTGAAAAATCCCGCACGTCCCTCCCCGGCTGGCACCTGTCTGGCGTCCTCCTCTTGCCGCTCTCGCCCACCTCCAGGAGCAGCTCGGAGGAGTCGATGGGAGAGGAGGCGTTGGCGTCCAGCAGCAGCTGCTCGTGCTGGGCCAGGTACTGGGCCGGGGTCTGCTTGGCCATGCGGGCGCAGTGCAGCAGCTCCCGCTGCAGCAGCGGCAGGTTGGCCTGCGGGGGGTGACAGTCCAGTCCACGGCCCCACAACCCCCCCGAGCAGCCTGGCTGTGCCCCCAGCTCGCCACGGACAGGGGGTGCCTTTCCTTTGGGGTCCTGCTCCCTTTCCTCCCAAGGGGACAGCCTTGGGATGCCAGCAGCGTGCCCAGGGGCCAGGTGGGCTTTAGGGGACGGGTGTGGCACCCCACAGGATTCAGACACAGCTTCAACAGGGCCCTCCTGCATCCTGGCAGGGGCTGCAGAGCATCGTCTCTGCGTCAGGTCAGCCACCTCGGCCACCCTGTCCCCACGCTGCTCCCTGGGGATGGCACCTGCGGGCCCCCCAGCCCGTGTGGCACCCCCAGCTGTAAGGATCTGTAAGGAGCTCCTCTCCCACCCACCCACCGTGTCCCCCCACGGCGCTGCAGCCCCAGGAGCAGCAGGAATTAAGCAGCAGAACCCCCTTTTGCTCGGCGCTCTGGCTGCCAGCCCTGCATTTTGCCTTAGGCAGCTGAGCCGCAGCCAAATCCCATCTGTGGGACACGTTAGCGCCCGAGCCGGAGCTGCAGCTGCGGTGAGCAGGGCCGGACCCTCCCTCCCCTTCCCTTCCCTGGCCGGGGGGAGCAATCCCACAAAAACAGCAAGTCCCCAGTCTGGGAAGCACGCCGAGCCCGGCTGGTTGCAGTTAGGATAATGAGAAACATCTGGAGCGGGCGGTGGGAACAGCTGGGAGCGGGGTGCCAGGGCGGCCGGCGCGGCCGCTGCGCTCTTGGCACTGGGACAGCGGGGATGGATCCCAGCCTGCCTGGAGCCACAGGGCCACCAGTGCCTGCCAGGCCTGGGGGTTCACCTTTCCCTGCTCCCACGGATCCCAAAAACCCTGCAAACTGGACAGGAGGGGAGGGCGGCTCTGCCGTCCCCTCCAGCTCAGCCAGGAGCAAACCACTCCAGCAGATTCCTGCCATGAGCATGGACCTCCACTCACAGAGCCCTGCTCTGGGGGGCTGGGATGCAGAGGTGGAAAAGGGGCTATTTTTACACTTTTTAATTATTCCTTTGCTAACAAGGGACAGGGGACACCAGGCTCAAACATCTGCTGGCAGTGCCAGCTGTGCCAGCACCGGGCAAATACCTCCAGAGAGGGGTGACACTGCAGAGTCAGCGCAAAATTAAAAGGCAAATAAAAAAGAAGAGGGAATTTTTAATGAATTGCAAATGGCAAGCAGCTGGGCCGACCCCTTGCTTTATTGCAACCAGCCCTGCGTGACTCCACACGTGTGGGGGCACACGTGTGCCTGGGGGGACACGGGCAGACCCACAGCCAGCCCTAAAGCCAGCCCCAAATCCCCTGAAATGCTGCCATGAATCCCACCCTGCCCGGGCTGGAGACCCACCTTGAGGAAGGGGATGACGAAGGGTCGCAGCGGGAAGTTGGTGGCCTCTTGGAGCTTGGCGTGAAACTCCTCGATGGTGAGGGTGGAGTTCTGTGGGGACAGCCTGGGCTCAGCACCCCTGGCACAGCCCCCTGCACCCCTGTCCCTCCCCTATTCCTGCTCCTCAGGAAAACCACACTCGAGGGAAAACCACGCTCAAGGCTTCACTGGTGATGCCAGCAGCCAGGACCAACCCTGCACTGGCTCTGCAGATCCCAGGAGACGCTGGGCAAACAACCCCCTTTCCTCCAGGATTTAGATCAATCTAGGCCCCTCTTTTTCCCTTTCAGCAGCATCTCCATCCCCAAAAGAAAACACAGGATCCTCAGACGCGGGGGACCCTGTGGCTGGCCCCACGGACGTACCACGAGCCCCAGGACGAGGGTGCGCACCCGCTCCCCGATCTCGGGGGAGATGTCGTTCCCAAACTGCTGCAGGGTGGTGAGGAAGCGCTTGAGCTTGGAGAGCTGGCGGGCGCCGCAGGCCGGAGGGAGCTGGTGGGTGGACAGGGAGGCGCTGGAGGAGGTGGCCGGGCCGTTGCTGAACCCGTTGGGGGTGGACGGAGCCCCATTGATGGCGGTCGGCGAGTGGCTGCTCCCGTTCATCACTGGGGAGACAGGGAACGGGAGGTCAGAGCGCGTGGCTGTGCCCTGGCACCGTGGGGATGAGGTTGGGACCGTAGGACCGCAGTGTCCAGCTGGGTAACACGGGGCTGGCAGCCCCTGGAAGGCTTCAGGATGCTGGTGAATCCCTGGGGCCGCCCCGGTGCTGTGGGGCTGTGAGGAGCCAGAGCAGCAAGGGCCTGATCCAGCTCCTCAACAGCCAAGGGAAGGGGCTCCCTCCTGCCCCTCCGAGAGCTGCTCAGCACTCCCAGCGAGAATCCATCAGCCATTTCCCATGGAGCCCAGCCTGGCATGCAGCACGTTGCCACCTCTGTCCCCAGTTCCATGCTGGGAAGGACGGGAGCTGCCTGAACACCCCACAGCAGGAGATCCAGGGGGAGATTTTGGGGCACCAACCACCAGAGTGGCAGACCTCTCTCTGCTGCATCAGCTCCACGCGAGCACAAAAACCTTCTCCCGACGGTGCAGGTGACAACGTGAGTCACCCCTGTCCCGACAGTGCAGGTGACAATGCGAGTCACCCCTGTCCCGACGGCGCAGGTGACAACGCGAGTCACCCCTGTCCCGACGGTGCAGGTGACAACGCGAGTCACCCCTGTCCCGACGGTGCAGGTGACAACGCGGGTCACCCCCGTCCCGACGGCCAGTACAGGTGACAACGTGGGTAACCCATGTCCCGACATTGTGGGTGACAATGCGGGTCACCCCTGTCTCGACAGTCAGCACAGGTGACAACGTGGGTCACCCCTGTCCCGACGGCGCGGGTGACAATTGGGTCACCCCTGTCCCGACACGCATCGCCCCGCGGCCCCGCCTGTCCCGCTGGGATCCCACTGACCTGGGGGTGCTGCGCTGCCCTGCCAGCCCTGCCTGCTTTGGGGGGCTCCCGCTCGCTCTCCGGCCGGGCAGC